CACTCAGAGCACGTGTAGAGTTTCTCTCCTGTGTGGATTCTACTATGTGTGATAAGGGCTGAGCGCCGACTAAAACTTTTCCCACACTCCGAGCATGTGTAGGGTCTCTCTCCTGTGTGGATTCGCTGATGTGAGATGAGGGCTGAACTATCACTGAAGCGTTTCCCACACTCAGAGCATCCATGAGGTTTCTCACCCGTGTGGATTCTCTGATGTGAGATGAGGGCTGAACTATGAATGAAGCATTTTCCACACTCAGAGCATCCATGAGGTTTCTCACCCGTGTGGATTCTCCTATGTTTGATAAGGTTTGAGCTCTGATTGAAGCTTTTCCCGCACTCAGAGCATGTGTAGGGCGTCTCTCCTGTGTGGATTCTACGATGTGTGATAAGGTGTGAGTGCTGATTAAAGCTTTTCCCACACTCAGAGCATGTATAGGGCGTCTCTCCTGTGTGGATTCGCTGATGTGAGATGAAGGTTGAACTATCAATGAAGCATTTCCCACACTCAGAGCATTCATAAGGTTTCTCACCCGTGTGGATTGTCTGATGTGCGGTAAGGTGTGGCCTCTGACTGAAGCTTTTCCCACACTCAGAGCATGCATAAGGTTTCTCACCAGTGTGGATTCTCCGATGTGTGATCAGGGCAGAGCTCCGATTGAAGCTTTTCCCGCACTCAGAGCACGTGTAGGGTTTCTCGCCAGTGTGGGTTCTCCAATGTGTGAGAAGGGTTGAGCTCCGATTGAAGCTTTTCCCACACTTATGGCATCTGTAGCGTGTCCCTTGCAAGTTGATTCTCTCACATGTAATAAGGTTTGAGTGGCTACTGAAGTTTTCCTCTGGCCTGTGCTGAGTCTCACAGGCTTTTGCTTTTTCTGGGAGTGCACAGCTCCCGGAAACATTCCCTTTGGAGCTTCCTGGTAACGTCCCATGTGGTTCTACTTGCTCAGCATCTTCCTGCTGGGGTTTCTCCTCCTCATTCTCACTCACCATCCCATCACCTGATGGGAGACAGAGAGAATCCAGACATAGGTCACTCCCTGAGCCGGAGAGAAAGGAAATCTCAGAGAGAGGAATGGAAAAAGAATGAACAAACCAAAATACGTGCGGGAGAGATCAAACCTATCAGGAGCTGATTTTCCCCAAACCCTTCCCCAGAGGAGAGAGGAAGGGATCAGTTTTGGTCTGTATCTCATGAGACCATTCAGGGGAAAGTAAGATTGGGGAGGCACCTGCTGCCAGTTGTCAGTCAGAATAGGTGGGAAGCCATGAGTGACATCTGCCATGATTCCACATCTGCAGGGAACAATCCTGAACTTGGAAAGCTCACAAGGTCTTTGTAGGGCATCCCAAATGTTTCCTGTAGACAGTTTTTGAGTTGGTTGAACGAATTCCTCACAGTAGTGGGGCCGACTGGTCTCCCTCTGAGCGGGAGAACGAGGGACCACTACACTCCCCTTGGTGGGCCGAGCCTAGCCTGCACCGCCCCCCTTGCCGGAAATGCCGGGGCAGGGCCGGAAGTATAAGAGGCAGGCCCTGTAGCCCAATTGGGGCAGAATCCCCAGAGGAGAAGGACACTCCGGCCATCCATAGCCACAGAAGTGGGAGACTTCGACGAGGAGTGGCCCAGACTACCGGCTGCGGGTGTACTGCGAGGAGCCTGAGGAGCCCTGGAAGAGAGAGGTACCAAACCTCTCTTTGAGGCAGGAAGTGGCCTGGGGCAGCCACGGAGCAGCCGGCCGCGGAGCCGCGTGTGGGCCAGTTGGCGTGTTGCGGCTGGATCCCCGCCGACGCAGGGGCAGCCAATCCTGCCTCTGCCAGGGCCCTGGGCTGGGACGTGGTGGAGTAGGGTGGACCCACATCCCCCTTCCACCCCACCCCGGGGTGGCCGACTGCCCACACAGTGCAGGAAAGCTCCTGCTCTGAAGAAGAAGCCTCCCTTACCAGCTCCCTTATAGACTGTTGCTTTGCTGGCTGCCTGAGCCCCACCCAGGCTAAAGCCAGACTTGAGACTGTTTAATTGCTGGCAGCTTGAGCCTCCCCAAGCCCAGGATAAAGCCTGGCCGTGACTTTGTGGGGCTGGGATCGAGAGGACCTGGGGGGCCTTGCTCCACCTTGGGTGGAGACAGGGGCCCTAGACTGTTCTGCAGTTGTGCCTTGGCCAGAGAAGCCCAAAGGCAACTAGACCGAGTGGCCTCTCTCCGAGCGGGAGAGCAAGGAACCACTACACTCACCTGTGCAGGCACCTCTTGGGAGCACTTCTTTCTCAGAGCCCTGGAGGTGTGGGACCCACGGCTCTTCCCCTCGTTCCAGCCACGAGATCACATCAGGTTTGGAAACTGGAAACTCTACTCAAGGCAAAGAAAAGAAGAGAGATCAGTGGAGTTTGTGGGATACTTGTCACAAAGAATATTCCATGGCTTTAAGCCCAGCTCATTTTTAAGCTGTAACATCCCAAGGCCATCTCCCTTGGCTCAAAGTGGCAGGAGAATTATTATTATTATAAATCATATTCATTACCGTAGTGCCTAAGAACCAACTAACAGTGGGTCCCCATTGTGCTAGGCAAAGTACAAACACAGAATAGTAGATGGCCCATGCCCTGAAGAATTTACAATCTAAAGAGACAAGACAGACACAAAATGGGGGAAGGGGTAGAACCCACCGTTAGAATAGAGATATTCAGGCCTGCCTGTGAAGCCTAGACTTTAAGATCTTAGGTGTATTTTTATCACTTAGCTAGTTACAGAGGTATAAAAACAAAGAATCAAAATCACAGTCCGCCTGTGTGTGGGCCTTCTCTCACTAGGATAGTCTGAGGCCTTGTTCTTAGGCTAAGGCCTTTGGCTAAGCAGGAGGGGCAGCCATAAGCTGGGAAGCGTAGGTCACATCCTCACCTCCCAAACCAGTCACACTGAAATAAGGTGGTGTTGGGCTGTTAGGAAGATGATCCTGTCCCGATAGCGCCCATCACCACCAGATAAAGAAACAGATCTTAAGAGAGCATCTGTCTGGCAAGAAATCCCCTCTCAATGGTTGTGGTTGTGAAACCCTCATTTCTGTATATTTTATCTTTATGGCCCCCACTTTTCTATTGTTAATCTGTCTGGTTCTCTAATTGTTTCTGTCTGCTGTAGAATTAATTTTGCTAGGTATAAGTTAATTAGGATACTGGGATATAATTGGTTAGAGAATTATGTTACAATATGTTAGGATTGGCTAGTTAAATTTCAGTACAATGACTGGTTAAGGTATAGCTGAGAATATTACTATATAAACTGGGGTCAGACAGGAGGGGGAAAGGAAATTGGAATCATGTTTGTTAAGGGGGGAACAGGGAAAAGGGACACAGGCAAGGCTCTGCGGATTCAGAGCTGGGAAGGGGGATGCAGGGTAAATGCTCTGCGGCATCAGAGCTGGGAAGGGGGACACTGGGGAACAGATTCTATTGGCGTATAGAGATAAGCCCAACTAGTGTGAAGGGCTTTGGAATATGCTTGCTTGGAAACTAACCCCAATAAACATTGCATTGTCTGTGCTTCGGACTTCTGCTCTTTTGCTGTTTCTGTCTGTGTGACAAGAACCAGGAAAGTGGGAGGGTGAAGGGAAAGCCGTCTAACAAAACTGACATGACCGGATAACCAAGAGGTAAGCCTTTAAGGAAGGTTTTAATACACTTTGGAACCGATCAGGGATTCCCATGAGGACTGATGAGGGGGCAATGGTAAATACGCATTTAGATCCTTTTCTTGTTTTCTATCTTTTCCCCATAAGGCTTAACTTCTGGCACACTGTCATGGATCCATAGGATCTGTGCAATGCCGTGGCTTTTAAACAGTCCTTGGGAGGCGCCCCTTGAATGCACTACACCCCCAAGGGGTTCCACTCTTCCACAAGGATAAGCCATGTAGCTTCAACACCTGAAACTGAGCCTCTGGCTTCAACACTCCTATTTCAACCTGTGAGCTCTGCCAGCAGGTCCAGCTGAATGACACTCCCGTTCAGAGACTGTTCCTCATTCAACGCACAGAGCAAGTTTTTGCTGTGACACTGGGCAGACTTTTAAAACATAGCAGGGTTTATTAGTCAACCGAAACACAGCATTGGAAAGTCCTTGGCTTAGCACAGAGAAGCAAAGAAAACAATATAGTCCATATTGGCCAATGCCTTTGAGCCATGCTGCTGTAGAAAACAGTTTGGTTTCTTTTCACTGTGCCTGTCCATTTGTCTTTGCTCCGGCAGAGCTTTCTGCGTCTGTGAGCCCAGTGCTTCCTGCTCCCAAAAACATGACGAGTCCATGTATGCTTCACTCAGCCAAGGGGAGATCCTCCCATGGACAGGTGACAATTATTTCCTTGTCTCTGTCGAGTATTCCATTGATGTAGGTTGGTCCCAGACAGTCCTTAATGACCCATTCATATCACCCCATGACAGCTACGTGACAAAACACCTCATATCTCCTGCTCTTTATAATCATAGCAATACCAATCAGAGAGGGAAACTGAAGTGTGTATTGGCATCATAGAAGTACCACAAAAATTCCCACCTCTATCACACACACACTGCTCACAGCCTTTGGAGAGAAAGCGTTAGTCCAGTGAACACAGTGGAGGACAAGCTGCAATCCTCAAACCCTGGTCAAAAAGGAGAGGCATGTGGGTCCCCACGCATAGACAGGGGCTGGCTAGAGGCCTGATACCTGAGAGGCCATTCCTTGAGCACACCATGGAGGCAGGTCTAAGGTTTAGCTACCCCAGAACTGTGACATCACAAAAGCACATTTGGGGGAATTAGGAAATCTAGTGACTCAGGTGTAATGGGAGGGAGAATTAAACTCCCCCAGTGTCTGGAGACGGCTGGGGAATTAAACACTAAAATTCAGGAGCAACAGCCTCTAATTCTTCTGGAAAAGGAGAATGTAAGAAACAAGAACTGGGCCACGCAACCTCAGGAGGGACAGGCTCGAAGATCCAAGGAGCCTGGAGGGAAGACAGCTTGCGGCTGCTGCAGATGGAGAGAGAGGGGGACAAGATTCTCTCCAAAGTCTCACTCCTGTTGACCCTGACCTGATTTTATGATCTAGGACCTAGTCTCATGGGCAATTTTATACTCGCTAGAGGTAAAACGTGATTATTAGAGTATTGCTTATTAGCTTGGAACATGCATGGAGGGGCAAGGAGGTGAACATAGATAAATGGGTTATTAATCTTGCTACAGTTAAGGGACTTATATTAGGTTGAGGCTTTGTGGGAGTAGTTATGCTGAAGTGTGGGATTTACCGGAATAGGCCTAAGGAGAGAATCCCAGGTCAGATATTTTGCACCCTCATTTTGAGAGACTAACAAGGAACCACAAACAGGTGCAATACGCCACAGGATTCTGAAAGAAGGAAGTTGGGGTGGGCTTTAGCAGTTAGGTTGCTATGCAGTATCTCGGCAGTTGAGCTGCATTCATATATTGGAATTATTAATAAATAAGTGATGTAAATCATGAGTATTAATGCTTGATGTTTAATTATGGACTTCCCAAAGGCCACGTATGGTTTGGGGCAGCTATTGACATTATTGTAATCAGAGTAAAGGAGCAGATATGGTATATAGCCATCCTGTTACCACAAGGAAGCGGATAAAATACCTCTCTTTCATTTTGTCAGGTCCCCGAGACACTGTAAACTGAAACAGGGCCTCCCTTCTGATGGTCTCCCTTGCCCCTCCATCTTTGTTTCCAATGGTGTCCATAACTTGTAAGTATGCACCGTACAAGACCCTCTTTACTATACTTATCTTAGTCTATCGTTATGTGTATTGATCCTTGCCTATGATTCTAGTTATAACTGTCTGTATTAAATCAAGTTTCTATGTGTTTAACAAAATTCCATCTTCTCAATTAACTTTGAGCAGCCATGTACAAGGTCAAGTTGTACCCCAATACATAGGTGTAAAAATTGTACAGGCAACACTACCACCCTGTGACATCATCAACAAAGTGCCCATTTGTGCCAGGGTAGTGGCCCTGCTCTGGGAGGGAGGAATGCAGCAAGGACTCAGGATCGGTGGCCGGGGTCGCTGTGAATAGAGATGGGGAGGTTATATGGGGAAGGAGGATAATGAGGGGGAGAGGGAGGTCAGGAGTTAAAATAATATTTGAGGAAAAAATGTATAATGAAGTGAAACTGAACAGAAATAAAATCGGAGCGTAGGCTCTAAAGCAAAAAGGCCTGGGCAGGGATTCGGGGTTAAAGGTCTGGGATCCCCCACAGCTCTAGATCCCCAAACCTCTCCTCCCTCCCACTGACCCACCCAGCCCACCTCCTCGGTGCCCTTCCTCCACACTCCTCTCCACTTCTTCCCATTACTCTCAGCCGGCACCACTTCCCGGCACCTTGGGAACTTCTCGTGTTCCCTCCTCGTCTCTCACTAACTCCTCCCTCCCTGCTGCTTCTTAGCTCTAATCCTGCACACACTCTCCCCATGTCCTGGCACCCCAGAATTTTATCTACTGCCCCTCTTCTCCTCCCCTCCCACGGCTCTGTTCTCCCTTCACCCGTGGGGTCCTGAAAAGTAACATTATACACTCTCGTATCAAACGCGGAGCTCATCCACGGTCACACAAGCTATGCATGAGTCATACACCTATTTACTCCATTTAGAATTCTACAGGCAGCATATTTTCCTCTTAAAATGAGGAAGGCATGAAAACTGTAGTTATTAATGTATCCAATAAGGATACATTAAATGCAATTTTAAAATGACCGATAACATCAAAAAGGCACGTGTCCAAAAATTATACTAGTGGGTAGGAGATAAGGCAAAAAAAGGGGGGCAAGGAAACTTGTCAAAACTTGTATGACGAATAAAGGTATAAAGTTACTACTACTCAGGTTCTTTAGAGCCCCCACAGCTTCTAATAACCAAGGGGACAGGACTCCTTACCCAGCAAGACCACCGTCTCATAGTTCTCCTGCATAACATCCCTGTAGAAGGCTCTCTGAGTGGGGTCCGGCAGAGCCCCCTCTTCCCTGGTGAAATCCACAGCCACCTCCTCGAAAGTCACTGGCTCCTGAAAGAGAAAGAGTCCAACACTCAGTATCTGCTGCCCCAGTCACAGCCCCACTATTCACGGAACAGCAGCACCAGGTAAATGGAAGCTCCAGGAGGCACATGTTAACAGAGTCCCACCCCACCTTGCCTAGAGCAGCCAGGAGGCATCAGAGGGTAGAAAGAGAGAACCTTTGTGTCTCCCAGCTGACAGATGGAGGCAAGGTCTTCACATACCTACTAGCCAGAACTTGATATAGGAAATCGGGCTCTCTCT